GCCCCCTTCCACCCCAGGACATGTCCCTTCCACACTATCCACAACAGCCTACCCATCTCACACCCAAGCCTGGGAGTTCCCTGAAGGCAGGGCTGGGGTCTCCTCCTTCTCTCCCCAGCTTGGAGAACAGCCACACTGCCTGACTGTCCAGCCCACGCCCCAGGGGCACATGGTGCCGTGTGCTGAGGTCGCCACCCACACTCACGCAACATCCTCAAAGGCCACCTTGCAACACACCCACATGCCAGTGAAGAGCAGGGGGAGGCCTGTTGGGGGGCACAGGGGAGACACAAGTAAGGAGTCTGTATCCTAGGCTTAGAGACCTGCCCCCACCTGCCACCACTACCACCAGCGACCCAGGGCACCGGGAAAGTGGGACCAGAGGAGAGCCCAGGGGCTGGGGAGCTGGCCCCTACTTGCTGGAGGATTACAGGCTGTCCCTTCCCCTCTCTGGGCCTTGGGTCATCATCAGTAAGCTGAAGGGACCTTTGGATGAACTTCCTGGACATTCCCAGCCCTCCACTAGCCAGCCCTGGTGCTCACCCCAGCCAGCAAGAACCAGCCACCAGAAGGCCCTCCTTGTGCTGGGCGACTTGGAGGCTAGGAGGCAGGTCAGGTACACAGCTTCCACCAACAGCCAGCTGAAGTTGGTCATGGTGGCAAAATGGGCGGTGGCCACGGAGACCTTGCACAGAACCTGTGGGCCGGGGGCCTGGGTTCTTCAGAGCTGGGTGTCCATTGGAGCCCCTACCCCACTCAGGTCCCTCAACCGTAGGCTGCCCCAGAGGAGACGTGGTAGTATAATGTGGTGATTAAGAGCACAGATTTGGGATCTGGGTTCAAATTTACCACGTATTAGCTGGGAAACCTCCCCATAGCTCAGCTCTTCATCTGCAAGCGAGGTCAACTTCTAGAGCTGCGGCTATGGAGCACCATTCATTCCTGCAAACATACAGGCACTCACCCATGCATGCATTCATTCATTCAGTGCATGATTCGCTCTCTCAGCGCTGAGGAACACCGCCTCTGAGCTCAGATGGCCCCAGTTTGGCCCCAGCCCCACTTGCGTACAAATGGGACTAAAATGAAAATGTAAGTAGGAAATAAAAGGTGGTGATATATGTAAAGCATTTAGTGCAATGCCTCTACCTAAGTGCTCCATACGCATCTATTACGTCTGTTCTAAGTTCATTAAGGTCATTGTTGGTTTGTCCGTTTGTGCATCTGTTCATTTCCGGCACAGTTTTAGTGCGCCTGGTGTGTGCTGGGCCTCCACACTGGCCCCCAGCTTCCTTTTATCTTCATTTTCCGCTGCTTCTTCCACCTCCCCACCCCCATCTGACTTCCCTGGTTCTTGGACATGCTCCTGTCTGTGAGAGTCTGTTCACCCTGGTCCCTCCATTTAACATGTCTTCCCCCTTCCCCCCCAGCAGCTCCAAAGCCTTCTCCCTGAAGCCCAGCTTTCAACCTCCCCTCCCCCACTGGGTGCTCCCATAATCTGGTGCATTCTGCCCCCCCCAGGCACCATGGGTGCTTCTTGAGGGAGGGACCCAGTTCCACCCAGCCCCGGGGCAGACCCACACCCAGCCACAGACAGGCACCCTAGGGGGAGTTACAAAATGAAAGGACTGGTGGGGTGACAGATGGGCTAGGTTGGAGTACAGAATAAGGCATGAAAGGGGAACCCGAAATAAGGGAAATGACACGGATTGGCCCCAGGGTCCAAGAAATGGGATGGGGATTTAGAACCTGACTCTGGGGAGGGGCAGGAAGGGAGAGGGTGTTTCCTGTTCTGTGATTGGCCACGGCAGAGCCCCAGAGTCAGCCCACAGGACCAGGTGGGCTGGAGGGGCCCTCCACCCCTGCATCTAGGTCTCTAACACAGCCTTCCCTCCCCCCCACCCACCCCAGCACCCTCCAGC